TATGCTACATCCCACAGTTTAAATCCAAAGCAAAGGTCAAGGTTATGGTAGAAATCAGAAGAAAGAATTAACATTTCTTTGGCACCGTGAAATACTATTGGAATCCATCGCCTAAAATACAGCAGACATTTTTTCAAACTACAATTAAACTTCTAGTACAGTGGTTCTGCAGTTGCCCCCGCCCCAACCCCACCCATCCACAAATCATCAGCTTTTTCTACAAAACTTTCTTTTAACTAAAGTAATAAAATTACAAGTCAGTGCAAATTTCCGAGTGCATCCAGAAAATATTGAAACTTAAAGAGTAAGAGTTTTAAGGCCAATTTGTTTGTTCAACAGCACCTGTCTTAGCTTGCAGCTTTACTGCCACCAACTGGATGAAAGCTTTCCACCCAGAATCATGCCAAATATTTCTAAATTAAAAAAATCTAAAAAAAATGTAAAATGTGATGTATATATGTATATGTATATTTGTGACATTATTTCATAGTGAAGGACATTTTATGGATTTGACAATAAATCATGCAACACCAGTTTGTAAACATTACTTTATATAACTAAGGTAAATGATAAGTTAAAAACCTTAAGTAAGGGTAACACTTCCATTTAAATATTTGGATTATCTCACTCCATAGAAAAGTAAATGATCAAAAATGTTGCATCACCACCAATTGTCATTTAACAAATATCCTTTATTCAGCAGAAAAAAAAAGTTGCCTACAATATTTCACATCAACAATTTGCTAAAACACATGTAACGTCGTTCACACCATTTTCTACTTCTGTATTTACAACACAAGCTCCTGCAGAATACTGTCAAGACGAGCGGCGCTCGTTGAACTAAATCGAACATTTTCGAGCTGAAGCTTTTGAAATAAGTCAGGGCGTCTTTGTCGACACCGAGGTCAGAATCTTATCGGTTTAAAACTGCAGCAACTCAGCACAATGTACCTGCTCTCACACTCAAACATCTGAATCAGTGTGTGAGGACAAAACAGTGCTTCTTTGGATCAGCTCAGTGAGGCTGACAGCACACACAGGAGTGTCTGTGTGAGACACCAGTACAGAGCAGCAAACAAAGAACAGAAAGCTACGGGACAGCGTTCTAGTGAATGGAAAATTAACTGTATGACAAAAATACTGTTCATTTCTCTGTTACTGTACAGGAGGCAGTAGACAACCAAAAGAAGCAAAGAGACTGTAAAAGAAGGTCACTGTTGAGGGAGTCCATTTTATGTTTTACATACATGACAGTTTTATTTTATTGTAAAATGAGTTCTTGTCAGAGCTCCCAATTCATGAGAATGAAAAACATATCCTGTGACCAGAAACCTTATTGCAGATTCTTTAAGAAAATCCATCTTTTCAATGCTGCACTGCTGACTGTTGAGTCCATCTATACAAAGAAAAACGTGGAAAAATAACAACAACAAAAAGTCAGAAAGAGTGAGAAAAGATCACTTTTCTTCCACAGTTCGACAACATGGAGTCTGGGAATACGGTTCATTTTTCACCCTTTTCAGGCCATTTGACCTTAGTTTGACTGTGTGTTTGTCTACATGTGACCCTGTCCAGGATGAACGTTGCCCCCAGCAGCTGGCTGCAGGGATGAGCTTCATCTCCCTCTGGAAAGGATTAGGCAACAGAAGAGAATCAATGTTGAAGCTGAGAAGTATTTGCCAAAAGTGGCTTCTGAAGTCATGACGTCAGATTTGTTCTGCTGGACAGGATTGTTAAATGAGGTTCTAATTTACACATCAACAAATTCAAGTGAAAAAGACTTAGCGAATTAGTGATTTATGATGGGATAATCAGGGCTATGGGGTGTCAAACTCATTTGGGTGCAGGGGCCACATACGGCCTAATAGCTGTGAAGTGGGCCGTACCAGTACAGTCAGAACATGAATACATTAAATAAAAACAAGCACGTGTTTATTCCCCTCTTGTTTTCCTGCAAATAAGCACATTAGAAAATATTCATATTTAATGAAATGTGATTTGACAAACCATCATGAACATGAAGTGTTTGTGGATTTTTTTTCACTTTCAAACCCCATCAAGTGGGCCGGATTGAACCCCCTAGATGGCCGGTTTTGGCCCGCGGGCCGTATGTTTGACTCTCACGTCAAAGTTTAAATTTGACTCTCACGTTGAAGACACCGCAGCTCCACTGACTGACAAACACGACTCAGTCGCTGCAGTAGCGGCGGATTTTGCAACGCGCAGCCACAGAAACATCCCGTTTACCCCTGTTTTGAAATCTCTTGTGAAACCTACTGTTTACACAGCACTTCGTCCTAACACTGCAGCACAACATCAGCTCACCCTTGCGCACATTTGGAGGTGAAACCCTGGGAAGAATCTGAGTGTAAATACCGTCGGTCAACACCTCGTGGACCTTGACCGCGTCTTCCCAGCGTTCCCTGTCCAGCGACTACGCCGAGGTAGAGTTTCCTCACACTTTAATGCGTGCCAGCGGTAATCACTGACAGATGTTAATGTGTACACGTTCAATTCCAACAATGCCGTGTGTGTGTTATGACGAACAGGGTCACAGTTGGTCGGTCACAGTTTCACTGAAACCAGCTGCCGCTGCATCAAAACAAAGTCACCGCCACGAAAACATCACCGGCTCTGAAGGGAACGTCTTATTACACAAGTCTGCTGCTCATCTGTGTTGTGTTAGCACACTTGTGTAACACGCTGTGTGTTACTGGTCACTCGCGGCGTTTCACCGTGTGCTGTCACAGAGGCATTCACACAGTTGTCAAGGAATGGAGAAGAAGATTTAAATACGGATAAACATCTGTGAAACAGGTACTTACAGTGATGACTGTCACCCATGACTGGACGTGTCTGCAGTTTCCCCTACAACAACAAAACCAACAAGCAAGTGCTTACTCACCGATGACGTCAGAAAATATCATCATTAAATATAATTTGTCATGGCATAACTTTTTACACCATATATACAGTAAATCATTCGTTTTTTCTTGTAGGGCTGAGGTTGTGAACTCAGTCAAGTCAGAACAACAAGGTATGTTATGAATTTGGCTGTTTTCTTTTTACATTCTTGGTGTAAAAAAAGCTGGAGTTGTTGAAATTAAATTATCTTAAAAAACAAGAATACACTGATGTATTAATCATTGAGATAGTTGAAAATGACCCTTGTTATCGGTAATGACACGATTACATGCTGCTCAACTGATTACAGTTACAGCAACAGTGACCTCTGCAGGATCTTTGGTACAAATGAACAGCTACAGCTCGATACGATATACTATACTGTATTAGAAATGTGTTTGTTTATCTTACCATAAATGGAAATGTATTTGAAGTCGTAATTATTTAGATTAGTTTGGGTAAAAAAAGGGACGGTTATAGTTTTTTTGTGTAAATAATAATAATAAATCAAATTAAATCACAATAATAATAATAGTGATATTGGGTCAATTCCCACCATTCCATCATACATTTGAAAGAAAAAAAGTGACAGAAGGAAGATCTACACAGCAGTAGTGAGGTCTGCTATGATGTATGTTTTGCTGTATGATTAACAATGACTTGGAGGCCACAGTTTGGACACGTGTCAAGGAGGAGAGAAAAGAGATAATCGGTGAAGATGAGGAAGAGCCTGAAGATGATTTGCTGTGCAGAAGTTGACGAGGAGCACACATATGTGCCTCATCTGGACCCCTCAAAATAGATGTGAGCCTAAATTGGCCCTTTTGCCAAATACAAATGTGGCCCATATTTATTTATCCTCCTGCAGATATCCACTGCTCTGGGCCAGGTGTAATCTGGATGTTTACATATTTGAGCTTATTCTGTTTTTAGCCTCTTTTTGACCAACATGGTGGACAGATGTGAGCAAACCAGAGCTGAACAGCCACGGGTCAGCACAACGAAGAAACTTGATAACACCAAACATATTCAAAAGTTAAAAAAAAGGTAAAACAATGAAGAAAGTCATGACCATGTAGTTTATTTTGTCTATTTAATTTTAGGGCTGTGTTGTCCCAGATGGGAAACGTGAGCTGAGGGTTTTTTAAAGGTACATGTTTGTTTTATTTCTGTGTTTATATTTCTAGTGTATTAATAGAAACTTACCATCTTTTTTCATCCACTGGTCCAACTCTTCCATTTCCAGCTCCAGCACCGAGGGCACGTCTTCTTCAAACATGGGCCTGTCAGTCAATATAATCATTTATCGACACAATTAGATGAATTCAGTATTTTCATTATGTACATTTATGTTTTTCTAATCAATTATGGTAAACTGTCAGATTATTATCTTTTAGCCTTTTCTGTATTAGGAAAAAGATACATAAAAGTTAATTTAATTACAATTTACTGTAAACTGAGTTTTAACAAAAGAAGAAAAAAAACAACAGATCAAACGACTGTAAACTGAGTTTTAACAAAGAAAGAAGAAAAAAAACAACAGATCAAACTTTTATCATGAGTCAGTCCTCAAAGCAAAAAGAGTAAAAATATTTTCTATTTCACTTCACAGAAGGAGAATAAACACATCAATCTGATGAAAATGTTTGAGGTGTAACTCAGGTTAGTTTCAAATGAATGTTGTTGTTTAAATGAGTGGCTTTGAACAAAACAAACGCACTCACATCGGCACCTTCTCTGCTCCTGATTCATCCAAATATGGATCGTTGATTTTTAGATCTGTGAGCAGAAAACATTCTTCAGTGTCTGACTGTGGACTGTAAATTCACCGTGACAACAAAGGGAGTGGATTATTCATCGTCATGTGGATGTTTGGGAGTCACTGTACTGTTGTGTATATGGATAAACGGTAAATGACCTGCAGTACACAGCACCTCCTCTAGTCCTGATGACTCAAAGAACCTCATGTTTCACATTTTGCAATTTACCTCCTGACGCCAAGGCTGCTAAGGGCGTGGCATTTTAACGGCAAAGTCTGAAATTGAACCCAACACCCCCAGGTTCTGAGTATGCAATTAATTAAATGAGCTGCAATGCTGCCATCTAGTGACTTTCACTTATCCCCAAAAACCCAGGCATTGCGTTATCGGGTTTTCATTATCGGAGGAAAAAACGACAATTATTCTTATAGATGTTACATAATGTGCTAAAATATTGGGCCGATTTTATCAGCCATCCTTAATCATAATATCTAAAAGTTAGCCAAGACAAGTATCTACAAAGGACATAAAAAAATTCTGTCTTCTGTTGTGATTTCGGTGGGCGAGAACATACCTTCACCTCTGTGTTTTTGATTCAACCAGCGGCGAAGGAACAAACCCAGCACTATGGAGACGATGGCTATGACCACCAGCCCGACCACGGCCGGGATGATGATGAAAGTCAGATTCAGTTCCTCCTCCTCTGGGGTCGCAGTTTCGCTTGTACTGGTCTCCCCTGAACCTGACGATAGAACTGCGATTTCATGTAAATCAATAAATAGGTAAACAAAGAAATGTTTCAGTGAGAAACAAGTGAGGTCACTCACCAAAGACACCGGAGCCCTCTTCTCCTGAGCCTCTGATAACTACAGCAGCAACAGCAGAGAATTATTTCACATCAATAGAAATCAGGTTTTCACACCTGGAAACTCAGACCTGAATTTGACATCAATTTCCACAGTTTTACAGACTGTAACCAGTCAGGACAGACTGTAACCAGTCAGGACAGACTGTAACCAACTTTAATTCATGACATTCTCTGAGGTGAGTGAGTGTGATGGAAGAGGAACTTGCCTGGCTCTTCTGAAGCAGGCAGCTCTGGAGCTAAGGTGGTGTCGGACACAGTGGTGGACAGTGGTTCTAGTGAAAAGATAGAGTGGAAATGTAGTTGGATGGATGGACGGATGGACAGATAGGTAAATAGATAGATAGATATTAACTTATGTAAAAACCTAATTCTTCATTTTCTATAAGGTTCTTTAGTTTCTTCTGTCAGTTTTATACCAGAAACAGGAAACAAAAGGTTCTGTTTTGTTTTTCTTTTGGTTCTTTTTGTATGATTTCAAAATGTTCAGGGTATTTCTGTGTAAACATCTGTAGCCATAGTTTGGAAGTTTTAAATTATAAGTTTTATTTGTGGTGGTATTGAGCCTTAGAAAGGAGATGAGCTGTGTGCTATTATTAGCTAGCTTAATTAGCTTTTTGCAATTCAGCTAGCTCATGTGATCTAATGTGATGTTACAATGTTTTTATGCTGTGTCATTTTGAGGGGATATAAAACTTTTTGTATTTTTTTCAAGTCACAATCTAGCTTGACAAAGATGGTATTATATAAAGATTGCACAGTTTTACTAATTTAATCTTTTTTTCCATCTCACCAGAGATGTCCGGTTTGTATTCAGTGGGGTCCGGATCATCTGTGCTCTCCTTCTCCACCTCCTCTTCGTTTGCCTCGGTTTCTGGTTGTGACAAAACTGAAACACAACTCCTCTTCATTATGAAACTCTATGTGTCACTAAAACACACATTAGTGGAAGAAGACAGTTATTTTGAAAAGGGTGGAGCTGTTGGGTTTCTGAAGCAAAGGAGTGTAACTCAGCGTAACTAACTTCACAGGAACTCAACACTTCCGTCCGCAGGAACACTGGTTACAAATATTAAATCTGTTACAAAAGACGTGTGAAGGTGGCGATATAAGACATAACGTGTCTGTATTTTGTTCTGCTTCTCTTTATAACGAAGTGACGGGAGATTAAACTGCACTCTGGTATAAATGTTCACAGACTTTTAGTTTAAACTGATATACAGGAAAATGAAGTTTTTTAAAGGTGGGTTTGACATTCAGGGATTAAATGTTTAGAAGAAGTAGAAACACCATGACTTTACAGTTTCTGTTACCTTTTAGTACTTTATAAAATACTGTTCAATTTGAGTCCTTAATGCCAGTAACATGAATTAATTACTTTACACTTTACAAAGTAAAACAGACTGAACCACAAACAGAGGTTTGGTAGAAGGGAGGTCTCAGTCCTACCTGTCCCGGTCACAGTTATTAGCAGCAGCAGCAGCAGGAGAGGACTTTTCAGCCACAGGCCTCTCATGTTGCCAGACTGAGAAGCAGACATAATGCCATTGTGCGCCTTCTGCCTTCTGTAATGTCACAGCATCTCACTTCCTGATTTGACTTTACATGCTTAACAGAAGCAAACAGGGAAGAAAAAAAACTCACACACCCTTGCACAGATAAGTCAGTCGGATGTGATGCAATAGGCCTTGTGCTTGTAGCCACAAGTCTGACGGCTCCTCTGCTGCAGTGAAATCACATTCCTGACAGTTAGGTATGCAGGCTCAGAGAATGAGGGCCCGGCTCAACAAACTGCAAATGAGAGAAGAAAAAAAAACATTTACGTGCATTCAAGTGTCAGCTGCCCTGCTATCCGTTGTCGTTGCTGCTGCCAACAATAAAAACCAAGGCTGTTACTGTGTTTGTTAATATGTTTCCTGACATTCTGCTACAGCAGGAGTCAGTGGTTGTGGCGTAATAAAGACTAATGGTGTACTTTTAAAAATACTACAGTGTTGTCACCATGTAGCTGCAGAGGTTAGATGATTTCCACTACTATAATTTCAAGAACTATACACCACAGTGTTTTCATTGAGTATCAGTATGGAGAATTTATACCTAAAACACCAACATTTGTAACTAGAGTTTTATTTTTATATTTTAAACAGATAAATAAAAAGATTCAGAATGACAATAAATACAAGGTGCTTAATTCACTATTGGTCCAAAAATGGCTAAATTACACACAGGTCCAGTGATTTGTGAATCTGTGCTCCTCCATCAACCGCTGTATGCCGATTTAATCTCATGTTGTAACATACAACAAATTCAAAATTAAAGATTTTTTTACTATTACATTATGCAGCAAATATAACGCATTAATTACAATAGTCACGATACTATAATCACGACAGCTATCTTACTACCTGACACTTCTCATACTCGTTACATTAGTGCCACCTGCTGGCTCTTTTCACCAACTAGTGCTTCTCCATACTATTCACACAAGTAGAATAAAAGAATATAAGATATAAGATATAGATATATTATATACTATTATTTTATATATTCCTGTTCAATGGAAATACGTTTACATTTATTTATTTATTTATTTATTTATTTATTTATTTTGGAAAAAATACACATTTGGGTTTTTTTGTAAATATTCTTGAGATCAAATGAATTCAGGAATAGGAACGGCCGTACCATTTCCCAAAATTACACGGACGCATTTCACTGTCGGACGAACCTCTTCCGGTGTAATTGTCAACATCAGGTTTGCACCACGCGTGTTTCCACACGTTAAAAATGGTAACGTCACGGTTCATTGTTACTGCACATATTGACTCAAAATGTTTAATACGATAGATGGTGACTTTTGTTACGTTTATGCAATGTTAAAAATAAGTTACAGTGATTGTTGTCACTTGTTTTACAGCCAAAGGTTCAGAAAGGGAAGGCGCCGGAGAAGGTGGTCCATCCGTACAGCAGAAAAGCTGCTTACATGGCCCGAGAAGAAATCAGACTCAGGAAGAAAGAAAAGTCAGTGTGAATAAAAAGAAAAACTGTTTTCATCATTGTGACGTCACGTATGTATTTTAATATTTGAATTAACACAACGCCTTGTATTGTGTCCCATGTGCTACAGACAGAAAGTCGACAAAGCTTCACGTCTGAGCAGCGTCGGTAAGCAGCCTTTAAAAAAACTAGGATTTTGGAAATAGACGTGGTACAGAGTATAAAACGTTTGAGAATCACTGCTGTAGTAGACAATTACTGGTCACTGAAGCTAAATGTTTCACTTGTTCTCATAGAAAATATTAAAGAGTTAGTTACAGGTTTAGCATGTGAAACAATATTTTACCAGGTCACTTATCTCAGGTCAATGTTCTAACTCTTCCTTTAATTCACAGGTGAAAAGCTGTTGTGGTTCCAGGGACAGTTGGATCCAGCAAAAGCAACATACAACAGAAAAGATGCCTGTGAGATCATTGAGAGGTTAGGTTTCACTTTGAATTAAGGAAATTCAAGAAACACAATAGTAAGCTTCTGTGGCTTAAATGTAAATAGATGACTATATTTAATTCAAGGAAGTTACTTTTTAAAATGACACAGACCTTCTGCTTTTACTACAACCACTTCTGTTCTATTGTGTGTCATAAGCCAACTAATATATGAAGATGTAATTTTGAGGATGTGTCCTGTACACCCAACACAAAAGCATTATTATTTACACCAGGGGTTAACTTAGAGACTATTGAATAATCGTATACTGCACAGTCTGTTTTCTTCTCAGTTTTTTCTTCTGTTTGTATTGTCAGCCACAACTAGACCAAAAAAAACCCCAAAGATTTCCTTTAAAATGTTTAGGTACCTTCAGCGGTTTGACTCGGAACTTGAGCAGATTGAGTTGATGAATGGGATCAAGGGTCGTCAGGGTCGTCTTCATGGTGCCAGAGAGGAGGTGATCAAGCAGACCATTGAGCGTGAGAGAGCCCTGTACGAGGGAGCTGGGTTTGGTGAGTCTTCACTGTAACAAACAGACGCAGTCAGTGTGTGAGACAACGTAACACAACTGTTGTTTTTATTACAGAGATACCAGACATCATCAATGCCAAGCATCTGAAAACATTCAGGTGAGTGGGGAAGACTCCACACAGAACATTGTTTGTTGTAAGAGAATCAGAAATTCTCACACTTCGTTGTATCATATATTTCAGGTTTGTGATGAGCTCTTGTTTTTAACCAGTAGATTTCATGTGGCTTTTTCTCTGTGTTGGTAGGGAGTGGACTGGTGATCTGAAGAAACTGCCAAATATTAAACTGCGTAAAGTTTCCTGCAAAGGTCTGGACATGAATGAGAAAGAAGACAAACCAGACACGGTAGAAGAGGATGTTGGTGGTGAAAAGGAGCTTCATGATGACGAAGACGATGAAGATAAGGAAGCAGAAGAGAAGGCTCTCATGACGGACTCTGACTGATGTTTTAAAATCGTTTGACTGTATCTTATAATGAACTCTCAAACAGCCTGTAAAAAAGACTCAAAAGAAGAAGATGTGCTGCCAAGTACCTCCTGTCCAGAAGATGGCGCCAGTGCCTTACTGCATCAGCATGATCTCCTGGGTCATAGTGTTGCACAGTGGTTCAACATCAGCCTGTGAGGTGTTGTACATTCATTGTTTATTAAATAAACACACCTGTGGATGTGGTTACACACCAGGAAGCTGTTGACAGCAGCGGAGTGAAGACACTTGGAGTCAACTGTTTTCTGTGACAAAGACACAGGTGTTGGTAGAAAACAACTGAAACCTGTAGAAAAGTGTAAGTCTGAAAAACACATTTTACAATAAATGCATTTCGATGCTATTGTTTTGTCTAAGTTACAGTTGGCGGAAAAGCATTTGATAAATTTGTTTTATTGATTAAATCAAGCGTGCTGCTAAAGATACTTTCTAAAAACTTCAAATACTTTCAATCACATCTCAAATCCAGACCACATGTTTACAATTTCATTAAGATAAGATTGAAGGGCTACATTCATAGCCATATGTCCCTAGTCTTACTTCACCAACTATCAGGTAAATAAAAGACAGCAGAGAATTTGTTTTTTCCATTTTTTTGGCAGCTTGTGGATTGGAACCTGAAACCTTCTGGCTCCAAAACTGCATCTTTAACCTCCAAGCCACCACTCTCCAAGCCTTTGCCAAGACTGTTGAGGATGAAGATCGGGTTATTGATAACTAGCACGAAGTCTGTCACACCACCTCGTGTGTGTGAAGTGCTCTGAGTGATGGTGGAATCTGTCAGACGGGGTTCTGTGCTGGTGCAACTGCAGCTTCCACTGAGGTGTCTGAGTCCACCAGCGTCTGTGGAGCTGGGACAGGTGTTGGGCTGACTGGCATCGCCGTCGTTCCTTTCCTGTGACTGGGAAAGGCTTCAGACCGGGTCTGAGAGTGATGCAGATTTTTGTCTGGGCAGTTTTTCACAGTGATGATGCGGTTAAAGGCCTTTAGGCGGCGCCACAGCTGCAGGTACACCTTGCACTGAATATACATGAAGACCACGCCTCCAGTCAGGCCCAGGGACACCATGATCAGCTTGGTCCAGAATGGCCACTCCAACACAACTGAGGAAACAGGCAGACACACACACACGGTGTGTGAGGGAGTCTGGAGGATATCAGATGGATGTGTGTGTGTGTGTGTGTGTGTGTGTGCAGAGCTGCTTACCTTCTTGTGAATAGTACTTGAGTAGAGAAAGTCTCCATAACTCCTCTGAAATTAAGAGTGAGCGTAACTTTAAATACTGTTTTTATTTCTATTCTCTAAAGTGTAAAGAATTATAGCCTTCAGATTGCATCACTTGGTTAAACAAAAGTTTTTAAATATGTTGTCTATTTTTAAAAATATTATTCTGTCCAATTGGGGAAAACTAAACTTTTACACTTTATACTTTCAAAACACTTTGCTTTTCTTCACTGTCTTTTGCAACCAGATGGCTACGTCCATGTCTACTAACAGTCTACGACACCGACACACAGTTAACAACTTGTTTCTAAAGTGCTGTCACTCAGAACCAGAACTACAAACATGGACCTCGGAGGGGACACCACCTCATGAGTATCTGTTATGCAGTGGGGGACAGGGGGGAAGTACTGACCGTTTCTCCCAAGTCTGATCTCTTCAGTGGTTCTTTTGACCAGAATGTAGACTGACCACAACATACATGCTATGGCTATCAGGTGAAACAACACTGAACAGTAGATCTTTCTCCTCTCACTCCTGGTCATGTGAAGTTTCTCCCACTGGAGCCCAGAGAGAGGGTGAGAGATGAGGAAATGTGAGACGTCAGTAGGAAAGAGAGGTCAGTGTTTGTGAGATCAGCAGAAAATAAACACCTTGCGAAGAGGTTTGAGCTTCGTCTCCATGATGAAGTCAAACTTGCAGAGTTCACAGCAGCGAGTGTCGGAGGATTTGATCCACTGGTTGAGACAAGCCTGGTGGACGAAACTAAGGCTCCCGGTGCAGTGACAGGGCGTGATCAGGGGGCAGTCGTCATCACCCTCACAGTGGCAGATCCTACACACAGACAAATAGGAACTAGGTGTTATATTTGTTAGCCTTCCTCCTCCTCCTCCTCCTCCTCCATTCACACACACAAACAACTACTGACCTGCAGACCTCCAGCTCAGAGTCATAAGAGCAGAACTGTGGTGCACCTCCATTGACACCACAGTGCGTCTGTGGAGTGGGCACTGACAGGTCTCCATCTTCTGTTCTGTTCTCCTGGTACGTCTTGGTGATGGGCTCCTCAGCCTCCTCCGTCTGTGAGGAACACTGTGACTTCTCGTCTCCCTTCTGTGAGACTTCGTTCTTTTCCGTCTGCTCATCTTTGTTCAGTGACCCCTGGTCGTCCTCCACAGGATGGTTCTCTGTCTCGTCCACTGATCCCAGTGACTGCAGCTCCATGACGTCTGTTTTGTTTTCATCTTTACTCCTGTACGCCTCGTTCTTCCCGTTGCGCCAATGCGCTCTGCGAGCTTTCTCTTTGCTCCAGCTGCGGGGCTCGCACCACCCCTCGTTTTCAGAGGACGATTCAGACAGTGCAGCAGCTGCACGGCGTAGTCGAGGTGGGAGCTCCCTTTGAATTTTAAAGGAGCGTTCCCTGGTTCCCTTCCTCTCACTGCGGTCCGTTTTCTCCTGTCTTCTCCGTCTCTTCACCAACTTCTTCTGGGTCTGGGACGAAGAGCTCAGGGATTTGTTGGTGACTGTCATCACAGACGAGCGTGTTTGTTTACTGTGTTTTTGGGATTTGGAGGCATCCTCGTCCAACAGCACCGTGTGGTCAGAGCTGGTAACACACACACACAAGGACACACAGTATGGATGTGAACATATCAGGAAGAAACAATTTTTGCAAGGTGTAAATAAATATTCCTCCCCTCTCTCCCTATAGATAAGAGTTCCACTTCTCTGTGGAACTGTTTACCCAACTACAGTATTGAAAAATATACAGTCATAAAATCCATATATATAATTATGATAATAATAACAACATCAAGTTTTTTGTCAGTATAACCTTCTTTTTACTCCTCCCACTCTTAAAGACACTGTGAATGTCATGATCACCTGGCTAAAAAATCTTTTTTTTAATTTTTTTTGCCAAGTTGAATAAAACTGTACAGAGGTCATGGTTTTACCTGCATATCTCCTGAGGAGGAGGACTGATGGATGTCCTTGAGGTTGTGAGGAGTTCAGTTATCTTGTTGCTGATCTGCATCGACAAAGAGTCTCACATGAGCAATGGAAGGTAGTATAACTAAAATCCAAATACTACTACTAATAATACTAATACTACCACTACTACTATCATAATAATAACAACAACAATAATGATGATAATAATAATTTGTCCTAATATTTAATTACTGGATGTTGAAGATAATCATGAAAGTGAATATTTTATTTCCACTAGTATTTATAATGAAGTTCAATTAGTGTTGGAGATGACTGTACCTTAGAACGGTTGCTGGAGCGACGCCCTGTGCACCCAGAAGTTTTCTTTCCCTGCAGGGAAAACAAATTAAAAAGTCATTACAGGAAGTGAGACATGAACTTGTCATAACATTTATGTCTGCTGTTGTACAACACAGGAACAGGCAAACATTATTATTTTACAAACACAATTTGACCTCCAGTAACAAAACTAATAATATTTTAGCATTTCCCGCAATCAGTGTCAAAATATGTCATTTATACACAATTGCAGTTCCAAAAAGAACCAGGTGTGGGCAGTCTTACAAGGCCATGTGTTGTTTTATTATGGCCTGAGCCAAAGCCATGTAATCCTATTAACTGTTCTTCCTGTTCTACAATGTCTCTGTTTAAAGTCACCAGAAAAGAACAATTCAAACTCAACTGAGAGTTTCCACTGACTCTCCATTTTTTAAAAGCATTATCACAAACATCCAGACATATTTTAGCTCAAGAAGGTTTTAGAAAAATCAGATATTTGACTCGGCCAAGTCGCATCGACACAAGAAGTACTGAAACCTCCACAAGTCTCATGTCAGCACTACTGCAGGTGTGTGACACCGTGTGACACCGCGGTCCTACCTGAACCTCTCCTCCTCTTACACTGGTCAAACTAAAGAGACTCTGGAGTGTGTTCCTGTGTTAGTTGATGTAGCGTGAGAGGATGGTTATATTTTGGTTCTGGATCATGAACACCTACAGCCACGATCAGACCAGCAGTGACTACAGCTGCGTCGGTCAAAAAGTCAGCAGGAGATGTGTTCACGGAGCAGGTGATAGTCAAGGCCTTTTCTGCCTGTTAGACTAAGACTTGTCTCAAATGAACACAACAAATAAAACAACAACGTTATGGACTCTGTAAAGCATGTGTCCAACTCAAGGCCCACAGGCCAAATCTGGCCCATGACATCATTTTATGCGGCCCACAAGAGCTTCACATGTATGGCTGTCTTAAGGCCTGGAGTGTGTGTGTGTGTGTGTGTGTGTGTGTAACAAATGCATGACAGTTAACAAGTTGACAATTGAACTTCTCCTTAATCCAATTCTAATCAAATGTACATGTTAGCACAAACTAAAATGATACTCTGAGACACATCCTACATTTTATGTGTAACAATATTCTGTCGAATAGTCTTTAATAAGTCTTAACTCACCTCTCTCTGGTCCGAGGAGCGAGGGGCGGTCTTGGCTTCGGTGTCCACCTCATTGACCGGTGCCACAGATATCTGATGTACTGGCATTCTATTGGTTTCCAACAATCCGGTATTATTCCCACAACATTCCTGCAGTGTCGTGCCCTCGTGCCTTTCTGTCCTGAATTTGCAGGTAATTCACAGTCCCATCAGTGAGTTCCTGTCAGAAGGTGACACAGAACAGGAGCGGGTCACCATGGCAACGGGAATCTGGAAATAGCATGGCGTGCGTTCACCATGATAACTGGAAAACCCAAGATCTGAAACCACTTCCTGCTCCTCATCCCCCCTCCTTCTTCTAACGCTCCTGGTGCAGCTCTGCTGGTGTTCCACCTAAGACTGACAGAAGAAGAGTTTGTGATGAAGAGTGTGTGATGGCGTCAGAAGCTGTGCCTGAGTGGAGCCAGAGTCTGGCTGCACTTGTTTGGAAATAAGCATACGGTGACAGGGATTAGAGCTTAGACTAACCTCAATCTCCTCCCCTGACCCACGCTGCTGCTGCTGCTGCTGCTGCTGCTGCTAATAGGCTTACACAACTGTTAATATGGCTGTTAGAAACAAACAGACTCCCACAAAAAGAAAAGTTAAAAATACTTCAATCACTTTGTTTTGTTGACGTTCTATAGTAATAGTAAAAGTAAAAGTAAAGTAAAAAGGCAGAAAATTATTTTTTTTAAATCTGAAATTATATAATAAATAACGACTTTATAACTAAAACAAAAACAGTAACTAATGCTCCACCTGTGCTGCAGTAATGAAGAGTTCACAGAAAAAGCTTAAAAAAAACAACAACAAAAAAACATTTTCAAACATTCCTACAGTCGCCACCCACAGACACACGGAGACAGAGGTCATTAATAATTAGGGTTCATGTGATCCAGGCTGAAATGGAATAGGGCCGTGACTGAGAGACACACCCAAACCCAGTGGCTGATCACGGATGATGGAATCTCTATTCTCTGACCTGGAAATGCTGACCATCGTGTTTTCCCTCCTGGTCTTTGCTCTCGTCACACTTGCTGGGATACTTAAGGAGGAATCTGCAAACTGGAAAGGTGTGAACTGTGAGTGTGTGACAGCCAATCCTGATCAGTGGATTCTGTGAGTAAAAATACACATTTTCTTTTTTTCTTTTTAGAAAACATGAGTGAAGACAAGCTGCAGTTCCTCCTTGTGGACGATGCTCAGAGTCTCTTTTAGTGAGGAATATCTACTCATGGACACACACACACACACCCAGAGTCTCTTTTAGTGAGGAATATTTACTCATGGACACACACACACATTTTAAAACGCCTTGGTTTAGGTTTTTTTTTTTAGGTTTAGTCCAGGTTTTTGCTGCTGTTGTATAATGTATACTGTATGTATATCATGATTATGTCATGCAGTAGTATGCTGCTGCTCCAACTGAGCTTCAGGAGTCTCTACTCCTGTGTTGAGCCACGAGGTGACAATGTGTCCTGTTATTATCCACAGGCAGCGTGCTGCAACAGGAAGAGTTCTGTGGTAGAACCCAGAAAAGACAACGACTTCATAGATGACTACAGTGACTACAGTGATAGAAGGAAAGAAGTCGACGTCCAAGTCTAAAAAGATTAAACAAATTGATAAAACTTGACAACTTATTGACTTTAAAATGAAATTACACATGGCAAAAAAAACCATCAGACTGATGGAATTTCTGAGTAAAATCTTCTGTTAAATATCACTTTTCATATGTAACGTGTTCTCATTTTGTCTTTTTTGACACCAGTTTAAACAAACAGTAACGGTCCACTCAATCGTACAGAAAAAAAAAACGCTACACATAATTACGCTCACAGAACCAATCGTCATTGACACATATGTCCACAAGAGGTCGTCCTTTACAAAGCATGTGCTGGAGCGCGACACAAGCGTTGGTTTTTGTATCTCCTGATTGACATGACCTTTTAATAAGAGCAGTTGGTAACAAGTTGTTTTTTTATACGGTATGACCTCGTTCTAGGAGAACTCTCATAATAACAGGAGGAAAAGATTAAAATCATCTCTGTCGCTATTTTTTGTACATGGGTTAAAAAAAGGGTTGCCATTGACAAATGGTGGGTTGCCATTCACCCATTTAAAAAGTCAAAAAGAGTTGTAAAATAAAAGGTTTTCAATTGAATACATTACACATTTGTTTCCTCACAGTCTCAATGTACTGTTTGTGAAAAGCTCAGTGAGAATAAGGTGTCAATCATGAGGAGCGTGGCTCCATGTGCTGTTCACGACAAAATTCTTTCGACTTCAGCAAACTCTTTATCCTTGTATGTTTCTAGTCTTAGCCTGTGGGACAAAGATCGTCTAATGAGTTACCAGGAGAAGAAGGGAGAGAGAGCAAGAGAGGAAGGGAGAGAGAGAGAGTGTGTGTACCTCAGTACAGGATCCAGAGTTATTATCCTCCAGGATAAGACCTAAAGGTGTGGCAAAAGACAAACAACGTCAGTAAATGACTTCAGGAAGAGTGGCTCGACGACTTCTCTCCTGTGTCGGGTCTGTTCATTTGTCCCCGTGTCAATGTATCTGTACAGAATTCTCCTTTATATGGATCCTTCAATCTGACTGTGACAATTCTGTCGGAGGTAAGTCCCAAACTTCACAGCAGCTGTGGTTGTTGATAAAGTTGTCCAACAATTTGTGTTCTTTGAACAGGTCAGCTGTTCTGATCAGACACCATTGGTGTACGAGTGGTGATAATGCATTTGGTATTTATTTTGTACTTACATTAAATGTGTGTGTGAATTACATGTAAATTTTAAAAATCTATTCTGTAGCATTTGTTTTAGTTTGTGTAAAATAATAATAACAAGTGTAAAATAACTGTTGGTGTTAAGAAAACCAAAATAGTGTAGAAAATCTACCAAACTGAATTCTGGAAATTTGGTTGAGTTTGTAAAAGTCTCCTGTTACATTTAATTCAGTTGTGGACTTTGTCATGTGACATGATTTAGCAGTGGGCTCCACTCACCAAACCTCTGACCTCCATGATGTTTTAATAAAAATGATGAAGTAGAAATATTTACAACATTATTATTATGATGCACAGAAAACATGGATATAAAGAATCTTCACAGAAGGAAACATCTTGTTTTGCCTTCTTTTTAACCCCAGAATAATGTCAATAAATTAAGCACATTTCTTGGATGGCATTGTAAAAGTGTCAGAGAGATCAGTCTGATTATGGACCGTTTTATTTCTGCAATTTCAAAAACATGTTTCCCTGGTTCTATTTGTTTTTCCATTCAGTTTAATCTTTACGTGAACAACGCAACTTTTGTGTTGTACAGCTGCGTAGATGGAACTACCATTCAGTGAATTTGAACTGACCTTCATCATCATCGCCTTCATCGTCTTCACCCTCTACGGTCTCGCTTCAATCTTGTTCCGGCCACATGAACCACCTGAACCAGGTACTGCACTCTAATGCAGCGGTGCCCAGTGAGTAGACTGGGATCGACCAGACCTGAACCAGGTACTGCACTCTAATTCAGGGCTGCCCAGTGAGTAGACTGGGATCGACCAGTGGATCCTAGAGAGTGTACTGGGAGATCATGAGCAATTAAACAGTGTCAGATTTTTTCTTGTAAATGACACATACTGTATGTCCACTTTCAGAACAAGACATCTATGAAGCAGCGACATCAAGAACATTGAGCATAAAACAACGAGTGATCATCAAGGAAGCTGCGAGGAAACCGTAAAACACAGTCAGGAAACTTCATCGTACGCTGAGGAGAACGTTACAGTCAACAAAATCCCAGAGTAGAAGCGTCCACCTGTCACCATGGTTATCTCACAATGGACACGGCCTTTGGTTTGACTCATTTTTAAATATTTCACGTCACGCAAGTCAAATACATAGCACCGTGAGAATGTTAGTCAACTGTAGATGTGCTGGGGATTTTCTTCATTATCATCATGTGTGTTTAAAACGTACCACAACAACAGAGCTATTGTTGGACGTCACTGATAGCAGTACAGACTGACTCGTCATACTGGCAAGAGTCGACCGTCAGTAACATAATGAATATTTGACCAATAGAAAACCAGTGTGTGTCCATGTAGTCACTGACCTGTTCTTCCCTGTGCAGTAGATTAAGATCCTGGCTGCGGCATGAATATTATTATATTTTTTTGTATCTGCAATATATATATATATATTTATATATTTATATTTATTGAAATATCATTTGAATAACATTACAAACATGAAGAGTTTGTGCTTTTTTTTTTCTTTCAAAATCCATCAAGCTGGCCGGATAGAACCCGCTAGCTATTTGATTTTGGTCCGCAGGCCATATGTTTGACACCCCTGATTTAGACAGTATATATGTGTAGAAACACATTAGTACATTTGTACTACTGTTTCTACCCTCAAAGTGTTTTATTCATTAAGGTCTTCAAACTTTATGTACTCTATTATTTATTTATTCCTCAGATGTGACTCACATCCATACATCAACCTGCAACTGTAAAAGTAAAACTGCGTTTAAGAAAATGTGCTTTAAGAAATAACATGGACAAACGAATGTGAGCTGTTTGAACCAAAACTCCAAAAAAGACCAACGTCTCCTGCAGACCAGACAACTGGACAGAAGACCTCGTCCGGCCATTCTGCAGTGCAGGGCTTAAACCCTGGGATGTGTGTCCAAAGAAGCCGCCTTGTCTGGTTTAGGATTAAACAAAACAAAGTGACTTTTGGCCCCTGTAGCCCTGGTGAGGTGACATCCTGGGGGGTAAGAGACTGCACCCTGTTGAGTTTGCCCCTTAACCCCTGAGCCCTCCGTCACTCCTCCAGAGTCAGCCGTCTAGATGCCAACACGAAAAGGAGGAGGAGGAGCAGCGGAGTTAATCGACTGTCATGAGTTCACTTTCTACACAGAACTGCATGAAATATAACCCAGTCCCGGTCTGCGCTGACGGACCTTCATTTATCTGTGTTTACGTCTGTGTATTGCATGTCCACTGTTGTTTAGGTGCACGTGAGTCCATTCAGGACTGGATTGGGCAATCGCAGATAAAGGGTCTTAAGAGTCATTAAGGTCGGGCCGGTTGCCGCCCTCATTAACCAGTGAAGGCATTTGGCATGACAAGAGAGACGCTATCACTCCAACGATGGACAACCAACTGGCCCATCAGATCACAATCAACACCTGTGCACACACGGAGACACTGGACTACAGCCCAACGATGTCAGAGAAGGGGGTGCGTTACATCTCTGCACTGCACTACGCTGTGAGGTCATAGCTGCACTAACAAAAACTGCAACCATTTAGAAAGGTCGTAATGTTACCTTAAGTTTGTGTTAATATAAAAAAACAAACAAAAAAACCCAAATACATCCTGTAAACTGACTTCTTCTCCACCAGGGGAGCAACATCAGGGTTGAAAAAAGGCAGATGGAACAATGTGTAATATGTATGGGATGAGCCTCTGTGTTCCAACCTTGGGGTCGCGGCCCCGTTTAAGGTCAGCTGGAATTCATATGGGGTCGCCCCAATGACATTTTTGTAATGGCCTGAATAATACACATCAGCTCTACCATTGGTGCAGTATTATGGAAGAAAAATAATAAAATATATTTTTCTGAAAGTGATGCAACAGTAAATGTGTGCTAAATATCAAAGCTACATAAGGTTTTACAACTATTAACCTTTGACCTTTCAGCAACAGAGTTTAATAAATCTCGGTTTGGTCCTAACGTTCGAGATCTAATGTTGGACAATGATCGGTGTGAGCTGTAATCCTGTTGAACATATACAGTGTAGTAAATATCTGTAAACCAGCCTTTGACAAGGATGGCCTCAGAGAAACAGTCATTTATTGGCCCACTGTTCTCCTTAACACGTTTTATCAGAGGGGAAGTTCTTTATCAGCAGATCCTGGTCAAGACACTGAGGACAGGAGAGAGAAGAAAGAAGAAACTGCAGGATGGGAGGAGAAGCTGGAGCTTCCCTCACAGCCGTAAAGATCACAGCTACCAGAGGAGCCTAGCTGTCAAATCAATAACAGCTCTCTGAGAGTCCAACGTCTTTTTGACTACTGCACTAATCCGCCGTGATTAAAATACCAGACTGAAGAAAAGTCCACAAAGCTCATTACTCTTCTTGTAAACTGAAAACTACGTGATTACTTAAGAACAACTTGAACTCTTGACTTACTGTGGTTTGAGCTGTTACAGGATTTGACCTGTCAGTGGTCCGGTCTGCAGACACGGTGGGCAGTGGGGGCTGACATCGAACATTTTTAAAGATTAGACTACTACTAATATTCATGTGTACTTTAAAATGTTGTCATCACTCGAAATGTCAGGTTAAAATTATTTATTCATGAAAACGAATCATTAGATCACACATCCAGTGAAGGTCTGTTAGCGCTAACACAGTGAACTGATCAAATTCAATGAATTGGAGAGAAAATGAGGAATCAACACACTGAGATTCTGTGTGTTATGTCAGGATATAGTTCAATCTAAGGAGTGTGTACGGGGGGGTTGAGCAGACTAAGTCAGGAATAAAAAGTTCAAATATTGCAACACGCTCAAATCAATAACAGGAAAAAATACAAAAAAAACAACCCACATTGTTTTACATACATCTCCTGACTAAGTCAGGTATAAAAAGTTCAAATATTGCAACACGCTTAAATCAATAAACAGAATAAAAAAAAAAACCCACATTGTTTTACATACATCTCCTTGTTTCTGCCTTTGGTATCAAGGAAAACGACACAAACGCAAACAGAGAAACTGAGGTTTTCTAGAAACCAGGTGGCTCTGAATAACAATCGGGGTCAAATTAGCATAGTCAAATAAGAGAAAATAAAAGTTTTTTGAAAGACAAAGGCAGCAACTACGCCAAAAGACCCTTCCCACAGGTCAGCAGATTTCTGCAGCAGGACAAATATGTGTTTGCACGTGCTAGTGTTTGTACCTTACCCAGATCCACAAGGAATCTCTGTCATTTCAAGCACACATTTTTGCAAACACCATAAAGCAATAAAGGCAACATTTCCTTAGACGCAGCAACAACGACATATTTACAAACACTGAAAAATACAAATGGAAACTCTAGTCTCTTTTGTCTATTTTTTTTTTTTTTTTGGACTCAGGGCAGAGGGTCCACGCGGTTGTTCAAAGTCTGCGGGACTACCCTGAGCCCTGTGCTCCATTAGTGTCCTGCTGCTTCTCTAATCCTCATTCACATGTAATGGCTGACATTTCATCTTAATGTGTTAATTCATTAGCTGGGTGCTGAATGGAGAGTCTCAGTCCACAGAGACAGCCGTAGGCAGACACGCTAATGAGTCCTCGCTCCCTGCACAACCACCGACAACCACACAGTCAATGCCAGGAGACGAAGGTTACCTCACGCAACTCCCCCCACCCCCCTCGCTGCAGATCTTGATATACATATAGTATTTATAGGTGAAATAAAAAACTACATTTTAATTTCATTTTTGAGTATAATGTCTTGAGCAGTTGTGCACAAACAAAATAGTTTGGAATTAGATTTTGTTTTTTTAATTTGGTGCTGGAAAGTTCTGCTTTCATCACAATCGTGACTACTACTGTTATCTAGTGAAACATGGTTTAAAGGCAGCGTTAGGTTAAGTGAGAAAATATCATTATTATTTACAATGCATGACAACAAATATATTAAAGTATATTAAAAAGTATATCTGACTCTGATTCTGCTTTTAGCAAGTGACTAAAGACAACAAATTTCCTCAGTTTCGTTACAATGACAATGAAGACTCTGCTATTCTACAATAATTAAGCTCTTGCCCTTAATAATAGTAGCCAATACAGCATTTTAACACTTATTTTTATAAAGAGCATGTAACAAATAAAAAACTACACTTTAATTACATTTTTGAGTATAATGTTTTGAGCAGTTGTGCACAAACAAAATAGTTTAGAATTAGATTTTTTTTTTTAATTTGGTTCCGGAAAGTTCTGCTTTCATCACAATCGTGACTACTACTGTTATCTAGTGAAACATGGTTTAAAGGCAGCGTTAGGTTAAGTGAGAAAATATCATTATTATTTACAATGCATGACAACAAATATATTAAAGTATATTAAAAAGTATATCTGACTCTGATTCTTTTTTTAGCATGTGACTAAAGACAAGCATTACAGCATTTTCACACTTATTTTTATAAAGAGCATGTAACTTCCCCTTCCTACCCTCTAGAGGGTGCCATAAACATTTGCTGTGGTCTGTAAGTTAAGATATTGTTTTGAGATATTTCTACTCATTTTTTTTAATGATTCACTTTTCATTAATTAGCCACGGATCAACCCTCAGTCCACCGAGTGAACACATGACCCGGAAGTTTCAAGAAGAATTAGCGAGTTGTTGCAAACGGAGTCACACACAGTCGATAAAGGTCCAGCTGGAGCGGCAGGCTATCGTTAGCCCAGTGCATCACTGATTGACATTCAAACAGATCCACTGCCAAAGAATACTTGGTGCAAACACCCCCCCCCCCCAAAACCATCGAGAGCCTCCAGATGTGTGTGTCCTCGGTGCGGGGGTAGGGAGAAAGCGAGGGGCGAGGACCCAGAGCACCTTCTATTTTTTTAATTGCTGCATCTAAAAAAAATTGGCGTTCAAATGTTCTGAGTGATGAATCCAAAATTCTTTCTTATTTCCATATCAAACACTCTGTCGCCTTAAACCTGCACACACACACACACACACATGCACACACACACACACACACACATGCATACACAGACTGCAGCAGAGTGTGTGTTCAAGGGGCAGTTGGAGGCTAAGGAGGGGGCTTCCTGTCATTTGAATTACCCTCTACATGTGGGGTCAATATGTGCAATGCAAGTGAGTGTGTGAAGGGTTGAGGTAAGAGCTGCTGTGGGACAA